CCAGAGATGCGGAAGGTGAGAGGATTCACCAGAGACAGAGTGGGGAGCAGAACAGGCAGATGGACGAAGTACACTGCTGAGGGGAGCAGCGGGCGGGTCAAGAGAGGTCTGCCGCGCCATGTGGATCTCCTCCAGGGCAGGTGGGGATTGAACTCATGCAGAAGTGGCTCAAGCTTCTCTGTGCTGTGCTTTAACCCACTGCGCCATCAGGGAGGGCCTGTTTCTGTGTGTTTTAATATAGGTCATGCTCACAGGTGTAAGCTACCTTCTCATTGTCCCTTTGGGTGTATTTCCTGTGCACTGAGTGATGTTGAACATATTTGAAGGTGGCTGTTTGTCGCCTGTGTCTTGTGTGGAGAATTGTCTTCCCAGCTTTTTGCCCATCCCATGCATCGGTACCTTGCTGAAGAACACAAAGTGTGATCACAGGAATCGCAGCCCTGCCCTGCTCATGACAGCACTTTATCACAGCCATGTATGGAAACAACCTGAGTGTGCATCAGCTGAGCATTGGTTTTAGAAGATGTGCGTACCTGTGCAGTGGGTACCACTTAGCTGTCCAAGGGTCATCAGTTGCCCTGTGTGACAAGAGGATGGAATTGGGGGCGGAATGATGCTGAGTAGCATAAGTCAGAAGGGAAAAGTAAATTCTAGACGAATCACTCATGTGGAATAAAGAGCAAAAAACAGGGAGTAAAAAAATTAGCCAAAAGAAAGCCTAGGAATCTGACTGTAGCATTGTGGCTACATGAGGGAGATAGTGGGGAATTCAAAAAGTGGGGAGGCAGTGGATTATGACAGAGGACTACGGGGGATGTGGTATAGTGACGTCAAGAGGTGTGAACCTGAACTTCCATGTCACAGGCCGTGTTATGAACCAAAGTTGCCTCAATAAAAATATAGGATTTTTTAAAATGTCAACACATTGCTACTATAGAGGGAAAGATATTGTGAAATGTTGGATGCGTTAGTTTTTGGCAATCATTTCACAATGTAAACAGGTGTGAAGTCATTACATTGTACACCTGAAATATAAAAACACTATTATGTGTCCATAAGACCTACCTACAGATGAAAGGGAGAAAATTAAAGTGACACTGAAAACATTTACTGATCCATTTAAAATACATATATTGATTATAAATTTATTTGGGTATTTAAAATAGCTGTAGTCTCTAAGACCAAAAAGTGAAAAGCTAGATCTGTTTTATATTTTTGTAACAAATCTTGAATGTATATATTTAAAAATAGGTTTTTGCTTTTAGGTCTGCTATATACATAGATGTAGGTATATTATCTGCAGATTTAGGGAATCCCTACTTATCCTAGTGGCAGAATAAATATGATTAAAATTTAGTTTTGGAGATTTAAAAAAAATATATTGACCTAGAAGTCACTTTCAAAGTTCTCAAGAGGTCCATTATCACAGATAAAGAAATATTAACTTCATATACTCAAAATCAGTGTGTATTTCATTGAAATTAAATCATTCAAAATATATAGTCCATACAAGCAATGAGGTATTTTCTAAAACATTTTAAGGGCTCATGAGTAACTGTTATGGATATTGGAATCCTTGCTATGTGCGTCTCTCAGCCCTGGCCCTGATGGATCACTTTGGTTTGAGGGACTGTTTCTTTACCACGTTTGCAATAGCTGGTTCCGTGGGAACCTTCTTTAATCTTCTACAAGTCACAGCCTCACATAATATCTAGGGAGTTCATAGAGCAGCATGAGTTTAGAATAGGAATAATTTAAAGATTTGTACACTCCAATTTGTGACATGTCTCTAGGGCTTAAACCCTTGAGGCCACTGAAAGTCTGTGTGGACACAGTGTGATTTGACATTTGCCTAGAACATTCCTCAAGGGAAACACATAGAGAATGTTATTCACCTCCAGAGAGAGAGGACAGGGATGTTTTTCTCCCACTTTAGAAAAAAGAAGGTAGAAAGAATCGTGTAAAAATTTCCTTCTGGGAATTGGGTGTTTTTTTATTCTAAATAAATCTTTACTCCTAGAGGCATAAGTTAGAGCCCCATAATGTGTTGAAAAACCACCATCAGTTGTAGCAAATGCTCTTCAACTGAGATTTCTCCTCAGATCCCTGTCACAGGGTCTTAGAACACGGCCTTTGCCTCTCAAGGGTCTTAAGTGGTCCAAGGAGATTCCAGAGGAGTGTCCAGAGCTCACATCTTCTTTACTGCAATTTTAAAATTGAGGTAATGTTGCTTTACTCCATTGTATGAGATTTAGAGGTGCTACTTCCTAATTAAAATAGATGCATTTACACAGGAAATGATGTTCAGTCTAGAGAGTTGGAGCAGAACAGGGAGGCTGCGAAGACCAACATGCCTTTGTAGAGGGAACCGTATTCCTGGTGATCTCCCCTGGCAAGACTGTGTACAGCTAAATGGAGCAAATCCCCAGGTTTCACTCCTAACCCAGCTCAGAAACTCCTGTGCCCTGATGGGTGTGTGTAGTCTTGGTGATTGTGGAGGGAGGTATATTTCAGATATTTTGGCAGGCTGAGGGTTGGGCATTCAAATGATTCCAGTGTACCGGTTGAGAAGGAATCTGGAAGGATGAGAAGCCTCATAGCAAACAGTTCCTCTGGATAATACTCTCTAATGGTCACAGGAATCAAAGAACCTTATAGTGCTTAATCCAGGTCTGATATTACCAGAGTCACTTATAGTAGAAAGTAGTTAGCGGTAGCAGGGAAGTCTTCTCCTTGTGGAAACAGGGTAAGAAGCAAGATTGTAACAGAGTTATGTCCTATTGAAACTCCCCAGACTATCAGCAGAAATTATTATTACTAGAAGCAGAAATTATGATATTAATAAATGTCCCACAACAACATAGATTGGGGGAGGGTAGATAATGGTGCCCAGAGCTGGAGAGAGCATGCTCGTTCGTCCCTGCCCCATCCAGCCCCGGGGAGAGTGGTGCTCACTGCCCTGCACCCCACTTCTGAGCCGCTCTTACTGGAGCGATTCTGTTGTGAGGGAGATTTTGCCTAGGCTCGCTTGATATTGCCTTCACTATTTCTGGGTTGCGTTACTAAAGAGTTTTAATCTTCCATTATGATTATTTATGAAAATCTCACTGAAATGAATGGAATAGTAAGGGAAAAGATTGCAGTTTGTTCAGACATTACTCTAAAATAAAATAATGGCAATATTCCCTTTGGATTTGTAATGTAGCTTGTATAGTTTAGAAAAGCTTTGCTATTAACTTAATGCACACTTATATAAAAGCAATCATTTATATCACCTAAGGATGTCGCCGGTTTTTTCTGACATTTTAAAAAAGATTTATTTATTGATGCAATCAGAACTGGGGTACAGGCCAGAGGTGCGGGATAGGGGTGAGAGGATTCACGAGAGACAGAGTGGGGAGCAGAACAAGCAGATCGACAAAGTACACTGCTGAAGGGAGCAGCAGGAGGGTCAAGAGAGGTCTGCCAGGCCCCGTGGGTCACCTCTGGGGTGGGGCTTGAACTCATGCTGAAGTGGCTTTAGCTTCTCAGTGCTGTGCTATAACCCACTGTGCCACCAGGGAGGGCCCTTTTCTGACATTTTTTGCTCTGAGCCTCTACTCAGCTGATGCCTCCCATAACTAATATTTTGAAAATATTAAAAAATGTCATTAAATTTGCCTTCAAGTTTCCTGATAGGTGATTGTCTTAGTTTCCGAGTAAGGAATATATCACCAAAGCAGTGTCCTGAAACTCCCTTCCAGCATCACTTCAAAGCAGGTGTAAAGCGTTAGTTCACTTTTTGTTTCCAGCCCAAATCTTTCAACACATTCAGCAACACCCCAAAGAAAAGTCAT